TGAGCTCAAGCATAACAACGATTGTGAGGATGGCGCAGGATCAGGCAGCATTTTGTTCTGTTGTACACAGGGCCGCTGAGTAGGAACCAACTTGACAGCACCTAACAACCACCACAATCCAAAGTTTACATGTATGTTTCCTTCTAGGAGGAAGTTTACATGTATGTCTTAGCTCTTATATTCAGGTCACTGATCCATTTTCAGTTAATTTTCAGATGTGGTGTGAGGTAGGGGCCCGACTTCATTGCTTTGCATGTGGAGACAGCTGTCGCAGCACCGTTTGTTGGAGACTGTTCTTCCCCATTGGACGGACTGGGCACCTCGTCAAAGACCAACTGACCATAGACGTGTAGGGTTATTTCTGGACTTTCTATCCCATTGATCTCTATCACACTGGTTACTTTCTGTCACCAGTGCCTTTTACTTGAACTGAACACTGTGAACATGAGAAATGTGTTTTCAGGGTTGTGTGAGGTGTTTGTGGCCTCTCCATAAGCACCCATGTGCTAGAGTCTGTGTGTGTAAATCGTGTTTGGATGCTAGCCGCGTTAGAAGAAGGTACTAAGAATGTGGGACCTCTAGATCCGAGACATCAGGACATCTCCCCTCTCTGCGGCTCTGGCTGTGAATGGGCGCTGGGTGACCCCGTCTCACCACCCCCCCACCCTGGCCACTGGCTCTGACTGTTGCTGCTGGCAGGCACACTTGGGGTTGGAGCGTGCGCTCCCACAGTGTCAGAGAGGGTGGCCTGAGGAGTCGTCACACGAGTGCAGCCACATAGGTCGATGGTGGTGCGGGTGCGGTTCTGGATCCAAGGCTCAAATTCCAGCTTCTCCTCACTGCCCCGTGGCCTGGGCAGCTCATGCCACCTCTTGGTGACACCTATGACTGGCTCAGGCCGGGGCCTGGTATGCAGTAGGTGCTCAGCAGGTACTGGATCAGAAACTCCAGAGTTATCTTTATAACCCAGGGTTCCTGGTCTCCCGAAGGTATGCATGTATGTCAGTCAGGAGAAGCAGCACACCAGGTATCTGAGCAGAGGGTTCACCAGAGAGGTCGTTTAGTCGGCAGACGACTGTAAACTATCAAGAAGGTGCCCCTTGGGGGAGCAGGCACCACAGCGGGACGGCCTTAGGAACACGCTTAGGCTTACAGCTCTGTGGGGGGACACCACTGGGGGGCCCCGTGGCCTGGGATGCTTCAGTCCTACCCAGAGTGGGTTCATTCCTTTGAGTTTTAAAGCTTTCATGATATTAGGAGTCTTCTTTAAAAATCCCGGTGACGTGGGGACCGCTAGCCAATGACCTGTTGCCCTTAGTGGGAACCAGTACCCCTGCCCTTCCATTCTCAAACCTGCTCCTGCCCCGTCCCTGTTTGTCACAAAGCTGAACTCAGATGCCGTCTTCATGGCCACCCTTCCAGAAGCTTCTCCTCTTTAACTAGCCTCGCCCTTTGCGTTACATAACACCCCACAGTGGGGGGGGCATGCCTGAGGGTGGTGGGGCGGGGGCTCAGTGATGACTTGGGGTAGCATTTAGGGGTGGTGCTGAGAGGGGCCAGCAGGGAGAAAGGCCAGGAGATGCAGGCGCCTGGGCAGGAGGGTGCTGGCGAGGGGGCTTGTCCGGGATCTCAGAGCATACCAGTGTTGATGTCCAGCCGCTGTCTTTCAGGAGTTTATCCGGGAGGGCTGTCTGTACAAGCTCACCAAGAAGGGGCTACAGCAGAGGATGTTCTTCCTGGTAAGCCCCTGCCCCCACCCAGAGGAAGCACAGACTTGTGGGGGTGCTTCACTGGGGGCTGTACAAGATGCCATCTCAGCCACTCGGGGCAGCCTGGGCTCCGAGGGCCCCAGTCTGGTCCCATTAGTGGGTCCCAGCATGGGCCGTCCTGAATGAGGGCGCTGAGGGCCTTCTTGCTGCCAGCCAGCACACCACAGGCACCAGGGCTGGAGGCTGGCCAAGTGCCGCTGGTCGAAAACGAATGAGGGAATGGAATAAAAAACCCTTTCCCTGCTAAAAATCTCTGGCAAGCCGACCCCTCGTCTTATGACCAGCGAGCAGGCCCCTGACTCGTGGTGAAGTCCACTCACCCAGAGCCTCCTTCACCTTCAGTTCTCAGACATGCTGCTGTACACGAGCAGAGGCGTCACGGGGACCAGCCGCTTCCGGATCCGGGGCCTGCTGCCCCTGCGAGGCATGCTGGTGAGTGGGCCCGCGGGGTGGCTCAGCCCAACACAGCGGACGGCCTGCAGGGTCTCCTACTGGTTCTGATCCAGGCCGCCGCAGCCCCTGCTCTGTGATGCACAAGCTGCCTGTCTCTAGCTGGCAGATGGCCCTCCAGACTGGCCCGGGCCCTCCAAACTCAGCCCGTGGTCTGTCCACTCCCACGGCTCCCCGGGCCCCCCCACAGCCCTACACTCAGGACCACGGGAAGCACATGCTGTGTGCTGCAGCTGCTGGGCTGGCCTGGCTTCCGGGGCTTTCCGGCCAGCAAAGCCTGCAAACACATCTTCTCCAAAGGGAAAGATGAGCCGTGAACCCTGAAGATGGCAGAGCTTTTACTTCTTTGATTTTATACAGAAATTTTCTCTTCTGAAATTTCAGTTCTTAATGACATCGTACATACTGATCTGACACACACACACGTGCACACATACAGGTACACATGCACACACGTGACCATGTGCACGCACAAACACCATGCAGTCACACATGCACACACGAATACGTGCACACTGTCACGTGCACGCACAATCACACATGCACACACACATGCACACACATGCACACACGCACAGTTTTAAGAGAATGACAGAAATGTGGTGCCACCAGTGAGGCCGTGGAGTGCATTATGAGCTGGGCTCCTGTCTGGCCTGGTCACTCAGCCCTGTGGTGGGAGCCCCCGCAGGCCTGCGTATGGGCTGCTCTGTCACTTCCACCCCAGTGGGGTCCCGTGATGTGACCGCCACAGCACACGGGGACGGGATGGCCAGCGCACAGCTGCCACCCTTGTGGATCATGCACACGGCCAGCAGGGTCACGCCAGTGACACTTCTGTGTGGCTCCTGGGGAGCGGAAATTCATCGTTTCAGTGTGGTGCCGTTGTGGTGACCTGATCGAGAGCCCATCTGAGGGTCCCACGAGGCTCGTGCAGTCGTCCAGGCCAGGAGTTTAAGGTCCCTGCTGTAAGGATGCTCCGTGGTCCAGACATATTGCAGTGACCCTCCCCAGCCCGCCCTCCACCCAGTGTCCACATGAAGGGGTCCGGGCTGCCGTTGCTCCGCCTGGTGGTGGAGCCTCTTGCAAGGTGTAACCCTCCGCCTTGCTTCCTCTCGTCCTGGCCCTCCCCAGCCCTCCGCGTCCCCTCCACCGCCTTCTCCTCCGGCCCCGCCGCTCAGACTTCCACCGGCAGACGGCAGGGCCATCAGGCTGGCTAAACACCCTCATCTACGTCCCTGGACACAGAACCCACCATGGTTTAGAGCACATTTTGCAAAATGACACTTTCCTTGTAGGAGAAAATAGCTGACAGGGTAAATCAGATCACTTGTCACATTTCCGCCCAGGAGCGTGTGCTGGGCGGGCGGCGTTCACCAGCTGTGCTCAGCGGCCTGTGCACCCATTCCTGTGGTCGCAGCTGTGACGCGCCCTCTACAAGCCGTTTCTCGTCTGCACCTTCCATCGTGCTTGGCGTGTCAGGACCTCCCTCCACGTCGCCTGGGCTCTGTGGCCTTCTGTGGGTGGACGGGTGGGGTCATGGAGGGCCCCAGCCCCATCAGAGGACATGGGCCACACCTGGTCGTTCAGGATTAGAATAAGGTCTCTCCACATATCCCCGATCATGTCCTTGTGGTGAGCCCCGCACATGGACGCATCTGGGCAGAGGTGCACTGTCTCCTGGCACCCGGGGGCGGCCAGTGAATGCTGTGGGGCAAGTGGAGCTGACCGTCTCGTGCACTCTGATCTGTCTTCCTTGGGGTTTCTACCCTGGGAATCGGGCTCACACGGCCCTGCCCCACACCAAGATAGTGGCACCTTTTCCCCAGAGCAAGGACCCCTGGTGGTGCAGTGGTTAAAGCGCACAGCTGCTAACCAAAATGTTGGTTCACATCCACTAGTCCTCTGCAGAGGAAAGATGTGGCAGTCTGCTCCCATAAAGATGTACAGCCTTGGAAATCAGCCGGTTCTGCTCTGCCCTGTAGGGTCACTGCAAGTCTGAATCAACTCAACGGCAGTGGGTTTGGGTTTGGTTTTCCCCGGGACATTCGTGGCTTCCTTTTTCTCACTTAATTGAGCTGCCCAGGAGTTGACAGATGTCATTAGATTGGGATTAACATTTTCTCTCCAACATCCGGTTTCCCCTCTTTATGAACACTTTGTCTCCTCACTCATCTCGAAGGCACTGCCATCCTGGAAAACCTCGTCGTCGGCCTTGAGCTCCTCTAGGCCTCAGCTACCATGGCCCCTGCCACCATGGCCCCTGCCACCATGGCCTCAGCCTTGGGCTCCTCTGGGCCTCTGCCACCGTGGCCTCTGCCACCATGGCCTCAGCCTTGGGCTCCCCTGGGCCCCTGCCACCGTGGCCTCTGCCACCATGGCCTCAGCCTTGGGCTCCCCTGGGCCCCTGCCACCGTGGCCCCTGCCACCATGGCCTCAGCCTCAGGCTCCCCTGGGCCTCTGCCACCATGGCCTCAGCCTTGGGCTCCCCTGGGCCCCTGCCACCATGGCCCCTGCCACCATGGCCTCAGCCTTGGGCTCCCCTGGGCCTCTGCTACCGTGGCCCCTGCCACCGTGGCCTCAGCCGTGGGCTCCCCTGGGCCTCTGCCACCATGGCCTCAGCCGTGGGCTCCCCTGGGCATCTGCCACCGTGGCCTCAGCCTCGGGCTCCCCTGGGCCTCAGCCACCATGGTCTCCGCCACCATGGCCTCTGTAGTATCGCCGGGCAAGATGCTTCAGGGCGTTGGCCTTTTAGAATGCCCTTTGCTATTTTCATTTAATCTTTCCAAATAAGCTTTGGAATCATTTGGACAGACTCCTTCTAAGAATGCCATTGGGGTTTTCATGGAAACTGCCTGAAGTTCCGTATTAGCTGGGGAACACGAGCACCTGACACCTGGACTGCTTTCCTGCCATCGCTCCTGCTGACTCAGACCCTCTGCGTCCAGCGTGAAGTGGGAAGTGGCCACTCTGCGGCACTTCTGTCACTGGCTGGGCCTCACCACAGGCAACGACAGTGCCTCTCGGCTTGAGAAAGATGATCTTGAGCACGTGAAGACCGTTCCCTGCTGTTTCTGTCTGAGGGGTTGTCACCAGCAGCATGCTGGGTGTTACCAGAGCTGTTCCCAGCGTGTTGAGGACGGTCGGTTCCCCTTGGACTTCGTGGTAGACAGTCACGTTCGTCAGCTTCCCAATAGCGGACTGTCCTTGCTTTCCTAGAGTGACCTTGCTTGGTTGTGGAACAATTTCCCACGTGCGCTTTTAGGGTTGACTGGGTAATATTTTACTTGGGAGTCATTACATCTGCTCACCTATAACTGAGACTAGTCTGCAGGGGTTTTTCTTTGACACTCGCTTGGGTGCCAGGTTTATAACCAAGTTGTCCAGCTCCCTGTGTAAGGATGAAGATGCTCAATGTTTTTCCTGTGCTTGATTTTCAGCTCATAGTGCTGGACCCGCCGGTGAGTAGCTGGGGCCTCCGGCTGCGGCTCGCCTCATGTCCCCTGTAGTGCTCCCTCCTAGCGCCACACAGCCCCAGGCAGCGCCGGGCTCCCCAGCACCCCAGCACCGCTCCCAGTGACCCTGTGCTGTGCCTCCGCTGACCCCAGCGCATCTGCCCCGTGTCCCCACAGGTAGAGGAGAGTGAGAACGAGTGGTTGGTCCCCAACTGCTTCACCATCTATGCGGCCCAGAAAACAGTCGTGGTGGCGGCCAGGTAAGGCCTTCCCCACGGGGGTGAGCAGGCCCTGGGGGCACAGGGCGGGCTCCCCTCCTAGCTCCCGGGCTCCCCAAGTTGTGAGGCTACCTCGGAGCATCATGGGGGACATGGCCCTTGGGCACTGCTTCAGAGTGATGAGGCCAAGAGCCGCCTCTGGTCGGGTGTGAGCCGGCCTGCTGGCTGCTGGGAGAATGTCCCCATGGGGTGCAGCCTCGGCGGGCCCCTCAGGGCACATCCTCACAGGCTCTGGCCCTTCTGCACCAGCCAGGCAGGCCTCCCCTCCCAGCCTCGGCCTCCCCCAGAGCCCACTCGGGCGTCAGGCCCTGCCGGGGCTGGTCTCCAGTCCCCAGGCCCAGCGGCTGCTTTCCTGGGTGCTACTCCAGCTGTGGGCACCCAGCAGAGAGGCAGCGAGGCCCCGGGGGCTGCCATGAGCAGTCTCTGACCCCCCACCACCCCCTGCAGCACCCGCCTGGAGATGGAGAAGTGGCTGGGTGACCTCAACACTGCGATCGAGGCAGCCAAGAAAGGCGGTGCCCCAGCCCCTGCACTCCTGGCCGGCCCGCCATGTGCCCACACCCCTGGTGAGTGGTGCTGAGGGGGCTCTGTGGACACTGTCTCCCTGGTCAGTCAGGCCACACCGGGCAGGGTGGAGGGGGGACCCAAGCGGTTCCTGGCAGCACACTGCCGGCCCGGGCCTACCCTGGGGGGCCTCTCTGCAGCACACCCATGGGAAGGGGTGTCTGCTGGGGTCTGCCTACTTATGGTGACACACCCAACTGCCCCCAGGACCTTCCAGTGAGGCCTCCCTGGAGCAGGAGTCAGAAGACGACACTCGGGGCGCTGCCCCGGAGGGGACGGGCCAGCATCGCGCCAACACCACGCTGCACGTATGCTGGTACCGCAACACGAGCGTGTCCAGGGCTGACCTCAGCGCTGCTGTCGAGGTGCACATGCTTCCTGGCCCCCTACTCGCCACCGGTGGGCATGGCTTTCCCCAGACCCCAGCCCTTTCACCTCCTCCCTGTCCCTCCAAGTCCTCATCCTTTTGCCATTTCTCCAGAACGTTCTCTGCACTCTTTGCTGGCCCAGTCACCACGTGTGGCGGAGCCTGGCCTCTCCCCTCCGACACCGGGGTATGGCCAGGTGGACACGCGTAGAGAGGAGCCCCAGTGCTGCCCATCTCTGACGCGCACCTGCTGTGTCCATGCCCCCGCTAGCCGAGTAGGGATCTGAGCCCCAGAGCCCTGGGCCCAGTGCTACCCACCAGGACCCCTCCTCACCATAGTGCACTCGCTTTAGATGCGAGTCCCGAACCCCACGACAGATCCCTCTGGAAGCGCGGAAGCCACACTGATGGCCAGGGCCCACCTGCCCTTCCTGGATCCTAGCGCCCCCCCCACTCTCCTGGCCCACCAGTGGGGCACTGCATACTCGGGAGGGGACTGTGCCTGGCCCGCATGGCCTCCCCTCCCCAGCAGTGTGCGTGGACTTGACTTTAAATGTGGACAAGCGCACAGAAGAGCTTAGCCCTGTTTCCTTTAGTCCAGGTTTGTAACCTCCTATCAGGTGGCTGGAGCCCTGGTGGTGCAGTGGTTAAGCGCTATGGCTGCTAACCAAAAGGTCAGCAGTTTGAATCCACCAGCTGCTCCTAGGAAACCCTATGGGGAGTTAACTCTGTCTGATAAGGTTGCTATGAGTCGGAATCGACTCAACGGCAGTGGGCTTGGTTGATTTATCGGGTGGTTAAATCTCGCCGAGCCCAGGATGCTGGTGAGGGAGCTGCTGTCCGGCGGCAGAAGGTGGGCTAAGCAGAGAAGGCCGGGTGGTGGGTCGGGGACAGGCCGTGTGGGCAGCCCTCAGTCTTGGGGCGCCGGCTGAAGCCGTGCGCTTTCCCTCCTCTTCACTGGCAGAACCAGCTCTCAGGGTACCTGCTGAGAAAGTTCAAGAACAGCAGCGGCTGGCAGCGGCTCTGGGTGGTCCTCACCAACTTCTGCTTGTTCTTTCACAAGACCCATCGGGTACGGTGCTGGCGGGGGAGCCCCGGCCTCCCTCCTCGTCCTGGTCCTGGGAGGCAACCTCACCGCGTCCTCTTCCCACTCCCGGTGCAGAGGACACCTGGGGGGCAGGGGGCAGAGCGGCCTGCGTCCCAGCCCTCCAGAACCCCGTGCCCCCCGTCCTGCAGGATGACTACCCCCTGGCCAGCCTCCCTCTGCTGGGCTACAGTGTGAGTGTCCCTGGGGAGGCCGACGGCATCCACAAGGACAACGTCTTCAAGCTGCAGTTCAAGTCGCACATCTACTTCTTCCGCGCGGACAGCAAGTATACCTTCGAGAGGTAACGCCTGGTGGCACCCCGCCCTGCTGCACTGCATGCTCCTTGTCCCTGCTGTGTCACAGGTCACTGGCCCTAGGAGGAGCTGAGACAAGCTTCTGGGGCCTTCCACGGACCCGTTCTGTTCCCTGCACCCACGTTCCAGATCATTCTTGGGGTGGCACTTGGCTTCCAGCCCAAGTGCAAGCCGCTTCTCAGGTGAGCGTCCTGATGGTCCCTCTCCCCCAGGTGGATGGAGGTGATCTCGCGGGCCGGCAGCGCACCTGGGAGGGCGCCCCGAGGGCTGAGCCCTGCACAGGGCTGCCGCCCAGAGCCAGGAGAAGCATCCAGGGGACAGGAGTGAAGGCTTTGTCGGGCACTCAGTGGTGACACACACGGACGGCTGCCAAGGAGCGGGGCAGGGCTGGCATGTGTCTCTACGGTGGAAGGTGGGCCCACCTGCTGGTCCCCAACGGTCCCTCGCCAGCCCATCACCAGCGGCCTCCACGCAGTGTCCCATCCACACCAGTGACTCCGGGGAGCAGACGGTCCTCAGCCCGCCTGCAGCACCAGCTTGGCGTGGGACGCGCAGGCCTGGCTCCAGGTGGCGGACGCCCCAGCCCTCTACGGACCTCTTCTCGGGTTGGCTGACCAGGTTGCCCCATGTCAGGACTCAGGGCACCGCCCCACCCCCCAGCAGTGCTGCTCCTTCCCACAGCCCAGCAAGGGCAGGCAGGGGCTCTTGGGTCCCTGGGATCGGCTGAGACCCCGCAATCTCGTGGCTGAGCCTCGTCAGGGTGGGTGCGGGGGAGCAGGGTACCTGGGACATAGCCTCGGCGTCACCAGCTGCCTGAGGTTGGTTGGCAGGAAGCCTCTCAGTCCTGCAGCAGCTCTGGAGAGCGGGGACCGAAGCCCCATGGCCAGGCATGGTGGACGCCTCTAATTTATTAGCCCCCAGTCATTGTTTAACAAGCGACGCAGATGCACAGCCCCCTGTTCAAGCTAACGTGCGCTGTTAAAAATAAAGAGCATCTCCCACAGGCCTGCATGGTGCCCTCTGTACAGACCGCGGCCCCCCCCCCCCGAGGTGCGACGCACATGTAAGGATGGTCACTGGGGGCTGGTGGCCCGGACGGGACACGGCCCCACACCACCAGCTCCAGTTCACGTCTTTATTGAAGGTGGCAGGACCATTCAGTGTCCGTGAAACTAACAGTTGTTTAACCTCGGAATACTTCAGGGAACAGAGTTTGGTTTTCTTCTTAAAAAAACAAAACACTGTGGGGGGTGGTCACGAGCACGGCGGGGGACAGAGCTTGGCCCAGCGCCACCCAGGCAGAGCAGACCATCAGAGCCACACAGGCAGGGTCCCAGGCAAGGTGGGGGCTGGGTGCTCCTCTCCTCTGCCCCACCCTGGCCCCCAATCTGTGACAGGAGGGCAGGGGTGGCCCTGGGGCTCTGCCTCTCAGCCCAGGCAGCAGGAAGGAGCCAGGTTCCGTGAGTCCAGAGAGCCCCAGAGGGGACAGACCCCACCCCTGAAGAGAGCTTAGGATGGCTGGGCCCTCCCCCTCGCGGGGTCACGGGTGCCTGCCC